GACTAAAAATTCACGAACATAGTTCTCCAGCGATCGCGGACCCTGTCTAAGGGCTAACAAAATCCTTGCCGTGTCCATACCTGGCCAATGTTCTTCAGAAAAACTGCTGGGTCCTTGTATGGCCGAGTATTCTGTAACGGGGCTGATGAGATGAGAGGTGTGCGGATTCATGTGCAAGCTTTTATTCACAAGAGTGAAAACACAGGCAGGGTCGAACAACGGCAAACAGGTATGGCACAGGCAAGACCAAGAATATTCCTTGGGCTAGCGTGGGTCTACGATCGGCGAACAGTATCCAGAGGGCTTGACAAGAGGGGTAATCCAATAAACACAGGCAGAAGGATGGACGAGTGACCTCTGGTGGCGATCGGATGGAAGTCCACGGACCGGATTCGTGACAGCCCCAAGTGGCATGTTGTTTCTAGAAACTTTTTTTTTTTTTTTTAATACTAATTGTAATACATGGGGTTATTATTTAATATTTTGTCAAAATAAAATGTCAAACAGAAGAGTTTATAAATATATACAGTGGAGATCAAATTTAGAGAATAACCTACAATTTCCTAGATTTCGAGGTCACTGCTTAGTCCTATTTGAAGTTCTCCTAACAGGAGTAAAAGTGCAGTTTTTTAAGCATATTTCATGTGTTAAGTATATTCTGAAGCACAGTATAAAAAACTTAAATGAGATATTTGAAAAAGAACACATCAAAATTAGAGAATACTTTTGAGATACCTCCAGTTATTGGTGTTAATCTGGCACCTTCTGGTCATTTCCTTAATTATCTGACAAACCCTATTCAATTATCAGCCTAACTTTCCAGTTTTCACTTATTTTGCAAGATGGTGAGCCGTTCTAAAGTGACTGAAACCCTCCAACAGCAGGTTGTCCATAAAGGCCAATAGCAGCCATAGCGAGAGAAGTTGGTCATTCCAAATCTGTGATTTCTAGAATATTGCATCTTTACAATGTCACTCATTCAAAAACTCATTCAAGTCCCCCCAAAAAAGCTGGTTGCACAAATGCACGAAAGGACAGGATAATGCAGAGAATCTCAATGGGCAATCGGTTCAACACTGCAGCTGGAATTGCTTGCCAGTTCAGTGCTGAACAGGGTAAGTTTAGTCTTGGCATACAGTGTCTCAACGTTTAAGAGAATTTGGACTGACAGCCCACTCTGCAGTGATCAAACCTCTCATCAGCATAAAGAATCAAAAGGCTAGACTAACCTTTGCTGAGGAGCATGTTGTGTGGACAGAGAGAACTGGTCCAAAGTTCACTTCAATGATGAAAGCAAGTTTAATTAATTTGGGTCCAATGGGAAACTATGTTTGTCGTCAAACTGGGGAAAGACTGAACCCAAAGTGTGTAAATAAGGAGGAGGAAGTGTCATGGTTGGAGTTGGGCCTCTTTTACAGCTACATGGCAGAGTGAATGCAAATGTTTATCAGAACTTCCTGCGGCAACATACGGTTCCCTCCCTGTGTTCATCGTCTAATCAGCCTGCAATTTTCACTGCAAAATGGGTAAAGCAGTTCCTTGAAGCTGAAAACATTGAAATAATAAAATGGCCAGCCAAAAGTCCTGATCTAAACCCGATTGAAAATCTCTGGAAAATCCTTGGTGACAAAGTTATGACTAAGAAACCCACTACAGTCACCGAACTGTGGAAGAGACTGGAAGAAGAGTGGACCAAGATCGCATCAGCAGAGTGTGAGAGACTAGTGATGTCCTGTGGCCACAGATGTGTTGAAGTTATTCAAAGCAAGGGCCTGTACACTTCCTACTAATTTTTGACTGCTGTAACTTTCAGAAATTTTAGTTGTAATCTTTCTTCGTGCTACAATCATTGCTTTTCTCTAATTATGATCATGGCGTTTTCCACAAAATAAAGGGTTTTCATTCAGCTCAGTTCAGTTTAAATAGTATCTTTGCAATCATTTGCAATCAAGTATAAGTATATACTTGTCCCTCTTTTCATATTTTAATTTAAAAGTAAATCCACATTATTCTTAAGGGGGCTTCTTCACCCATCTTACCATATAAATTTATGTTCATTGTGCACATCATATTCTCAGATGCAGTGTTGGGCAAGTTACTCTGAAAATGTAATCAAATTACTGATTACTGATTACTCCTTTTAAAAGTAATCACGTTACTGTTCTGATTACTTTATTTCAAAAGTAATTAGTAATTAGTTACATTACTTTTTTCCTCCATGAAATTTGTGATATCCCAGCATACACGCTCCCGATAAATATTTGTTATTAAAGCATCAGCATTCACAGAACACTGTTATTTTTAACTAAAGCAAGCGGCTGCTGCGTGCATGTTTTGGCATGGCAGAATGCCAGCAAAGAGCGCTGCATTTATAATATCTAAAATACATCTAAGTTCATCGCAATCTCACAAATCTCTGTTATAACAGAATACATATATGCATAATGAATCTTTCATAATGTCTACACTGTAAAAAATGACCGTGAATTTAACGGTAAAAGACTGTAAAAATGCTACAGTAAAAACCTGTTAAATGGTTAACGGTAAATTCCTCTACTATATACGGTGAAAAACTGTATTGGACATTGCATGTATTGGACATAAATTTTACGGTAGTATGAAAATACCGTATAATTTACAGTGAATAACCGTAAATTGACATTCCCTGAATTCCCTGCGTTACATTTCAAATTTGATGTTTTTTTTGTTGAAATAACTATGTTTCTTCTTAGTTTTTTCTTATCAGTTTTGTATATTAGGGTTGTGTGTTACACCTAATGTTGTTAAATGAATGTTTATTGCATTATTTCAGTTTCATGTGTGTTACCATGATGGTGTTTAGTGTTTGTGTGAATGACGCTGTGCACCTTCTATATATGTTATTATTTAAAAGCTGCTTGTGATGGGCTTTGGTTCATCATGCGACTTTCTCATCACCACCTGCATTTGGTGGTTATCAGTGTATTACAAAGGTACAAAACAGATTTCAGTACTTCAATAGGTTGGTATATTAACATTATATCAGTTAATGAAATTACGGTATTTAACTGTAAATTTAAGTTAAAACCGTAAAATCTAAAATGTTGCTACCGTATTTTTTACGGTAAAATTTTGGTAACCACAGCTGCCGTTTTTTTACCGTAAATTTTACGGAATTTTTTTTACAGTGTACAATTCGTGTGTTATAATGAGAGGATTCGTGAGCACGCAAATTTCAGCACTGCATTGCTCAACGTTGCAAACACGTGTTATACAAGAACTAGACAAAAAGCAACTTAACTTTATATGAATGCATCAAACAAATACACTCTGCCCATAATGGAGATACAAATGTGAGAATGAATCAAATTCCTTCAAATAAATTAACACAATTTTACAATTACATATAAAATACACTGAGAATTTTCTATTAACTATAATATTATAGTTTATAATATTAACTATAATCAAATCTCAGGATCTGAACAGTTACAAATGATGAAAATTTTCAGGTAGATTAATAAGCAGTAAAGAAAAATTAGCATATGTTTTGCTCTTCTTCCTAACTAACTACTTGTTGGCACTCTGTGGAGAAGGTTCAGATGTATTGGGTTCTGAATCCCTCTCAGCGGCTCAGCTCATTAGGAGGCATTCCACACATTCCAGTCCCACTGCTGTCTGCTCACTCAGCACCTCACATCAGTCACACTGATCACACTGTGAAAATACAATTACATCCATCGGATAGCATGAATATGTACATACGTGTTACATAAAACATAGAAAAGCTGGTCTACATGAGAAATCTGAGACACATTATACAATACAAAATGTATTGTACATATTATTATAAAATAACTACAGGGCACTTTCCATAAATATGGTTTAAATAAATGAATGAATGAATGAATGAATAACAGGAAACAAACCAACAAACAAATAAATAAATGCTGTAAAATGGTTGCATGCAAAATGTGGGACACAGCTAAATATGAATATCAGGTCAATAGATATTCAATAGATACTCAATTTTTACATTGTGGTTTAATTGCTGGAAACAGTCAAGAAGGTCAAGGCCTCTATGGTGGGACAGGCCAAAAACACAATTGTGACCCTGGACCACAAAACCAGTCATAAGTAGCATGGGTATATTTGTAGCAATAGTCAACAATATGTATGAGTATGAGTCAAAATTATCGATTTTTCTTTTATGCCAAAAATCCTTATGATATTAAGGAAAGTAGATTTCCTACCGTAACTATATCAAAACTTAATTTTTGATTATTAATATGCATTGCTAAGGACTTCATTTGGACAACTTTAAAGGCAATTTTCTCAATATTTAGATTTTTTTTGCACCCTCAGATTCCAGATTTTCAAATAGTATCTCGGCCAAATATTGTCCTATCTTAACAATCCATATATCAATGGAAAGCTTATTTATTCAGTATGAATATTGTATGAATCTCAATTTCAAAAAATTGACCCTTATGATTGGATTTGTGGTCCAGGATCACAGTTTTATTTATTATTGTGTGAAAATTAATTTCATACTTTTTTACATTGTCAGTGGGTATAAAAACCAAGCAAAGGAAAATATTGAAAATTATACAAAAAGAGTTAAATAATATTAAGCTGTATTTATGTATTTAGGATCAACTGTTATCTATAAAAAGTAGCCTTAGCCATAAAAATATTATGTTCACTCTGTTATACATTGTTATTAGATAACTTATAGGCCTACTACTAGCAAGAGCATGAAAAGTGTTTTAAGAGAGTAGTAAAGGACACTGAATGCTTGCAGATGAATTGCACTGCCAATTATTTCAATGCTTAATTATTTTCTTCTGTAATATGACTGCTAAGCTTCATGCATCAACACTGAGTAATATTTTCATATGATATTATCACTCAATGTGATGAAAGGTTTGAAAACTTGCCTGGCACATCTTTGATGTAGCCCTAGTGCATAAAAATGTGTCAGCACAAGGTTCATATTTCATATTGCATATTAATATTGCTCACGGTATGCTGAGCTGCGTGGTGACAAGTTCAACACACACGTGCCATTTAGTAGATAAATCAGTCACAGTACCACCTGACTGAAACTCAAAGCATGAACATGTGATACATACCTTCAGATTAGAGGCACACTCAACACTGCAAAAAAAAAAAAAATTTTTAAACATATTTACATATTTCATGTTTAGATAATTTACAGACAAAAATACTGATTAAAATTTTTTAAGCCACAGATAAGTTCAAGTGGTCTCTTTACTAAAAATAAAACAAAAAAAAAACCTGTTCACAGCATTGCATGTGACTGTCAGACCTGAGGTCTAAAAAGAGCAGGTAGAGGCTGTTACAAGCTCCAGAAACACACGTGCCATTTAGTAGATAAATCAGTCACAGTACCACCTGACTGAAACTCAAAGCATGAACATGTGATACATACCTTCAGATTAGAGGCACACTCAACACTGCAAAAAAAAAAAAAATTTTTTTAAACATATTTACATATTTCATGTTTAGATAATTTACAGACAAAAATACTGATTACAATTTTTTAAGCCACAGATAAGTTCAAGTGGTCTCTTTACTAAAAATAAAACTAAAAAAAAACCTGTTCACAGCATTGCATGTGGTCTAAAAAGAGCAGGTAGAGGCTGTTACAAGCTCCAGAAATGGTTGATAGATATTCAGGCAATGTGTTTAGTTACAGATCATCTTTTACAAGCATTTCCGTAACACTCTTAGTAAGAGGACAGATAAAAACACAACATGGAAGCTTCACATATCAGATATCCTACTGACCTATGGTCTAAATTCATTATCAAGATATTACATAATACAGAAAGTCTCATTATTATCTCATTGGAATAATTCCCATATCAATGTATTTGACCTGTTCTGAGAGATGCAATGCACGTATTATGCTTAAAATGCAGTTTTAAATCATTCTTCCATTAATCATAAATGACCGAATTGGAAGGCTGTAGATGCTTGGATCCCAGACCCTGCTAATGATGCAGGAGGTTCACAATTCATCAACATTTGCTTAAAAAACTTCTGTTTGATTCATTAATGAAATGATTTTGATTAATGTCTCCATTATGTATTTTTACAAATGTATTTACAGGATTACTAAATTATCAACCCTATTTTTTGACAAAACATCATGTTACATTTTATATTGATTGCAAAATCCAAAATTCCAGAACAGTTTTACAGCCTTTGGCAGCCCTAAAATGTTCATTATAATTTTTTTTCTCAAATTTTCTGTAGAAACCTACTGATGCCCCTAGATTGAAAGCCGTCTCACAAACATTATAATTTTATATATCTATCCAGTTGTTTTCTTGATAGTTATTTTATTAGAAACATGTTAATGAGAAAATGTTCTTTAACTTCTATTTTTGTAAGCCACTATATGCAACACTGCTAACTTCTTGCAGTGTCTTGACTTCTTGATACTAGTGCATTCTGAAGTTTCAATTAATAAATGAACAAAAACACTCTTATGTTGCATGTTAGACACCACTGGCAATATTTGTTCATTTTGGTGCTAATGCTGCAAACAAATATTAGATTTTATGGAGGGAAATATCTCTCTGTCTAACCAGTGTAACATTCTGCTTGTTAAAAGATGCTGTATGTAGCCTCCCACAGCACTTAAGAAAGCCTTGAAAAATATTAACTTTAATAGATAAATTCTTCACATCTTTACTGCATCATTTCATAGTTTTATAGGCCCTGGACATGTGGAAAACTAGTAAAATAGCAGCTGCCATGCAAGACAACCACCCATGTGACTCATTACTGTAAGTGATTCATGGGCAGCTCAATTAAAAATAGTCACAGGGTGCGACAATTTTACCTGCTCTCGTAACAGAAGTAATGCAAGTGATGAAACCTAAGAAGAAAATAGCCTCATAAACGAAGACAACTCCCTTAATATATGAGACAGTCAAAGCTGATTATGATGTTATAAGTCTCCATATCACTTCATAAACAATTCCTGTCATCTTTGTGTGTGATGTGGAGTGGTGTTCTGTGTCTTGGGCTTCGTGGTCAGCCGTAAGTCATCCTTGGATAGACAGGGGGCCCTATATGGCGGCACATCAAGTTCCCCAGGTTTCATTTCCATTCCTTCAAATGTTCCCAAAGGCATCTGACTTCTGAAAATGTTTTTTTCACCCTCAGCCCCCTTCGAAATGCATCTGACATCACAGTGACGTGGAAACCTCAGAGGTGGGAGGAGTCAGTTGAACAACAGGAGCATGATCTCCACCACATATATAAGTGATGCTTGGCTTGGACGCTTTAATTTTGGCACAAGGAATTTTCAAGGAAAGTCATGGGAATCCTACAGGACGATGAGCTGGTAAGGGCTTATATGTCTATTTCTAAATGTCTATTTAAAAAGCAGTTAGTTTTTAGTGATTTCCATTATACATTTTAAATAGTTTCATTTGATGGTTTTGTCTCAAGATTTCAGTTTATTTTGTGCATCTTGGATTTTTAGGTTCTGGGCTCCTGTTACCTTTAAAAACAGATAATAGCAGGCCTACTTATTATATTATTTGAAATATTTAAAAACAAGATCCTCTTCAAAATACTTCAATTGCTAAATAAATGTGAATAGAGATAGACTGTATATACATATAAAACCTCTTTTGACTATTTATACAAAACTTTTGCTGTTTTAAAATGGCCACTAGTGTTTTAAAAGGGATCGTTCGCCCAAAAATCTCATGCCATTCCAAACCTGCATAGGCCTTTCTACGGTGGAACACAGAAATATTTTGGGAAATATCTACTTTTTTCGATGATCAGTCAATGAATTTGTTCTTTTGTGTACCACCAAAGAAAGTCAGTCATACAGGTTTGGAATGACATGAAGATGAATATGATTTTAGGTGAACTATCTCTTTGAGTGGTTATTTCTTTGGTCTACAAAATATGTGTGTTCTAATTTTGTTATTTTAGGTTACAGACATCACAAGTGGAAACAAAGAGCAGGATGACAATGTAGCACAGCATCCTTCTGAAGAATGCAAAAGCTCTGTTGAACAGCATCTGAAAGCCTATAACCTCCAGTGTGACAGTGAAGTCATTTTAAATGGTCTTAATGTAAGATATAGGTTTCTTAAGCATTCATTTGTATACCTAATGAAGCATATGTTATTAGAAGTGCATTTTCTTTATCATATTTGAATGATTTTGCAGACTGACAGTACTAATGACCTCCTAGAAAGTCAGAAGATAAAAACAAGTACACCAGTCTACAAAACACGGCCTAAACAAGAGATAGTGGTAAGCATACTTCAAAGCAATCATTATTAATGAGATTTCAACCCCTCAAGTAATCATCTCATTGTCTCACAGAATGATTTTGTTGACGAGGATGACTTTCTGAAGGCAGCGCTGGATAACAAATTGCCAATGATCAAAAGTTACCTCACCAGAGGTGCAGACCCAAATGCCTGTGATAATGTGAGTGTTTACCCAACATATTGAATAAAAGGCATGCTGACAGCACTTAAATGTAAAGGATATATATATATATATATATACTTTTTTTTTGTTTTACTAGTTCAACCGAACAGCTTTGCACAGAGCTTGCTCACAAGCAAACGTGGAGATTGTGCAAACGCTGCTGGAGGCCGGTGCTTCAATTGAAAATAAGGACAAGGTATTAAATAATGTTTACATAATACTTAAGTATATTTGTGCATTGAATTTTTCTATGAATACAAACACACATTAACACTTGAGAAAGAGTGTACAAGATCAAGACAAAGAAAATATTTTAAACATAAGCTTCAAATTCATGTGACAATTTCTAATACAGAAATATACTCTTTTATACCATTTTCAAGAAAAGTTTAAATTTAATGACTAAAAATGCAACTGGTGTAACCAAGCAAAAAGTAGTAACATTTTCCTTAATTCTTTAATTCACATCATTATATCTCATAAAGTTTAAAAATACATTTAAAAGTATTTCAACAAATATTATGAATTAATTCATAAATATAATTTTTGACCCTTATTGATCTTGACATTTCATGGAAGTATCACATGTTGGTTGCACCACGATTTTGTTTTGTTTTTTATATTTTAACAAAATGGATTATAAAAAAAGATTACACTAAACTTCTTAGTTTTTATGGAAGAGGTGATATTGTATGAGTTTTACTTTTAATGTATTTTTAAATAAATAATTTTAAAAAATGAGCAGCATGCATTTCTCTGTAATACATCTATTCTATTCTTCTAATTTGCATAATATGAATGGATCATCTTTTTCTTTTGGATGCGTTTAATTAGCTTCAAGCAACTGAAGTTCACTGGGCTTGTCGTGGTGGCAGTTTGCCTGTGCTGGAAGCACTACTTAATCATGGGGCAAAACTGGATTCCAGAGACAAGGTAAAAACAGTTATTTGACAGCAAATCTGTTTTAATAATATAGCTGGTGTGGTCTGACATACTGTCTCTATCGGTTACACTTGACGTCCTCAGCTTCGCAGCACTCCCCTTCATGTAGCGGTCAGGACAGGACACCATGAATGTGCTGAACATCTCATACACTGTGGCGCAGACATCAATGCAAAAGACATAGTAAGAAATTTGGCAACACAGTCATTAAATAAAGTTAATTAACACGTTAATGGTAACTTTAAATGTCATTCTGCATCAGGAGGGTGACACGCCACTACATGATGCGGTCAGACTGAATCGCTTCAAGCTCATCCAACTTCTTCTGTTGCACGGAGGTGACTTAAAACTCAAGAATTGTGTAAGTATTCTTAAATGTAATGCTTAGCCTATATACTTTTATCTTGTTGCTCATGTATTAGGATGCTATCAGATACTAATAAATTGTAACTTATATGTAGGAAATCAATTCTCACTAAATTTCACTAGGATGCTTATTTAAGCTGTGCACAGTACCATCTTCTGATACTTATGTAAGCTTATTAGTTTTGCTAGTGTGGAAACAGCCCTCTAAAATTATTTTTAGTAGCCAAGACGTTTTCGTAAAGGCTTAGGATCAATATTGCTTGGTTACTGTTCCTTTGTCTTCTCCAGGAGGGAAAGTCACCAATGGACAGTGTTTGCGAGTGGCAGAATGAAGCTAAAACCATCTTTGACAACTTTAAGGATGGAAAAAAGTAGATGCAATACTTGACCACCATAGGTGCGCTTTGGGCATAATACACTCAAAAACCTGCATTTTTAGATTGCCTGCATATTAGAATCTGATATCTAAGGAAGGTATATTATTGAGCCCTGCATGACATTATGCCTTTTTCAAATGGAAAAGTTATGTGAAAGTTTTACTAGAGTTTTGGAAATTGAAGCACAGTACTTTAACTTTTTATTAAACCACAGATAAGGCAGAAAGGAATGAGAAACTTAATGGAACATAGAGCTTCCTCTTCACATGGAAATGCATTGCCTGAAATAGCTCTACTGCTAAGATTAGATTCAGTCGGAGCATGATTGATATTCTAAATCATATTTTATGACAGAATGCACTTAATGTGAAATAAGCAATTTTGTACTAGTTCAATTTATCTGTAAATTTTGTTTGCAATTCTTTTAAAGCTCAACTAAATAAATATAATTTTTAAAATATCTGTATCATCTTTCAATTTAAAGTGGATTGCAAGATGTTGACAAAAGGATTCAGGGAATACTAATCTTCAATTAAAAAAAAAAATTAATACACATGAATTCTGAAATACTGGCTATGCTAATTCAGTTTTGGCCTTTTTAGATACTGGAGATTCTTCTTGCTTCTGGGGAGTTTTTGGTTTCTTCATGGTGTAAACAACACCAGATGCAGTGGCTCTCGTCTCTGTTATAAAGAATCATGAAAATTACCAATGAACATTCACATAACACTTTAACAACTAATAAAAAAAACAAAAAACAGACTGAAATGCCCATCGGTATAAAATGCATACTCAGCAAGTCAACTAGCAATCTAACAACAAAAAAAGACCACGAGGCATAGAATTAAGCCTGTACTGGAGAAATGGGAAATAGTTGAGCTCTTTCCAGTCATTTACCTCCATGAAGCAAGACAGATCGACAGTTAGTAGAAACAGCAGCTTTGGCATCTCCCTCAGACAGGCTGAACACAAGCCCTCTGAAATCTCAATGAAGGAACATATCAACATAGATACAGTGCCTTTTAGAAGTACCATGACATTTTCATACAATTTATTCATACACAAATACAAAGGATACAAATTGGCAATGTCATACGGACCCCTCAACTCAAGTGGCTAAGGAAAAAAACAAAAGACAACAATGTCATACTGACTATACAATACAGTAACACTGAAATGATATATCAATTTACAAAAGACTTTTTACCCTTTCTGCTCCACTGGACACTATGATATTCTGTTAGAAAAAAAATTTAATTTCAGAACTAGCTTAACACATTTTAAAGGTTTACACGTGTAAAAAGGGAAAACATACTTTTCCTTTACAGACTTCCATGAGGCTGATGGCATTGGCAATGGTGTATCTCCTCATAGTGGTGTCTCTGATGGCTGCCGCATAACAGGTCTCAAAGAAAACCCCCTTGTCAATAGCCTGACGTGACCAACAATATAACAGTGATGATACATCATTTAAAGGGATAATTCACCACTAAATTACCATTATTTATTAACCATCATGTTGTTTCAAACCTGTATTAAAAGGTGACATTTTTAACATATAATAAAAAAGTGAAAGACTTGTGCTGTCAAGTTTTGGAAAGAATGCAAAACACCATGATAGTATCATTAAAGTGGTCCATGCAACTCAACATTTTGCAAGGACATTAATTTTATATATTCCTTTATGACCTCATATTCACAAATTTGTAATTTTACTTATTTTGTTACCAAGTTCTATAAATGCCGCAGTGCCGCTTAAAATCACCTTGTATGCTGTTAGGTATGGATATAAAATACTATAACTCACCCCATTAACTGGAGCCCTTTTAAAATGGAAGGGCTGTTTTTCAGCCACTGCAATGCAGATAATGTCCACATCAAAAGTCATGCAGGCTGCCTGACACAGATACAGGAAAATATACAGAAACTTTAATATCACAACTGTTGGTTTTCATCAGAAATATAAAGAAAAGAAATAATACTAAATGGAATAAATTAAGCTAATTCAGAATTGCAATTTCCCTTACATGAAAGAGTTTTTCGGTCTTGGGGTACACCGCCACAAGGTCGAAGCTTTTGTATTCATTGGTTGGTCTCTTGAAAGAAAATAGCATACAAATTTCACAATATAAATAAAATGTTAGCAAATTTCTTAGAGTTTCTTCATTATAAACATGCAACTTACAAAATGAGATGCATCAGAGGCTATGATGGTCAATCGATTCAGTACTTTGATGGGAGAAGATTTGCTCTATGAAAAAAAGCACACAATATTCATCAACAGTATCCATCATCGGTAAGTATGATCTAGAAACATGCTAAAGTAATTTACCTGTACTATTGGGAATTTATCAAATATGTCTGACACACTCTGTGGCTTAGGAATTTCCTGTAATACAAGAAAAGAAGAGCATCATCAAATGAACTCTTAAAGTGTACAGGTTAGTCTAACTACTTTATATCATACCTGTTTCTTCTGTTGTGGTTCAACCACATAGTTTATTGCGACCGTTGAGTAGCCAACTAAAATATAAAGAGTGAAAGTTAATAATTGAATTAATTGTTCGTCAATAGTACATGAGATCTATTTATTTGTTTACCCTGCTTCTAGTTGATCAAAGTTGGGCCAAGCTGGTCATGAGCTAGCAGACCTGGTATGACCAACTGGACTGGTAGTTGTTTTGTTGCTAGTGCAAGATAGTTTCCCAGCTCACACAAACTAATAACCAGCTAATTACCATCTTAGATCAGTTATAAGACCCCAGCCAAAACAGAACTACTGGATTTCCAAAAATTTGTTTGGCAAGGTATGGGTTAAGCCTTCACAATCAAAATGCATTATTAAAGAACATCTTATTAATAATTACTAAAGTAGATAGTTAACCTACTGGTGTTAACCATAATTTCAGCAAATATAACTAATATTACTGCTACTTACGGTGAGCTGCTGTCTCTATGATGCTTTTGAGTCTGTTTTTATCATTACTGCTGATGATGTTTAGATCCATGAACACAGACATTTTTTCCACTGTTTTTACAAACGCAAATCTATATAGAGTTTTCTTCTTATCACATAAATCTAAACCATTTCAACGAATGTAATGAGACCCACATGCACAAACACATTCCACGTTAAAGCGTGAACCAGAAGTTAATTGTGTTTTATGGGTAATGTAGTTCGCATATGCCATTTTTGCGTTGGTTTTGCTTATCGTGTCAGTCAACTAGAACTACAGTACAATTTACTTCCGCTTTCGGGGCGAAGCTACGTCGTAGCGAACTCTCCGATTGGTCCGATTTGAACAGAGAGAAACCGCTACGGTCACGGCAGGAAAGAAGCATGTTATCTATGTAACCGGGATACAGTTATATATATATATATATATATAACAATAAAGCGAAAAGTAAGTGAAATTGGCGAGAATGAAAACACACAGTTGATACTTTTACATCTTGTCCAAAATTGTTGCTTAATTGAATTGGAAAAAATCTCAGGCAATAGCTCGTTCAATAGTCGATGCGTTATTGTTGTTTCACTTTTGTTTGTAACGTTAGCCACTTAAATTTTGTTATCATATGATAACATTTTTAGCTAAACGTATTGATAGGCTTCGTCAAGATGATGGAATCGTGTTTAAATCATAAGCCTGGGAGAGTTGGCTCTATAACGGCTGAGGACCTCAGGAAAGATCTTTTCGTCGAGTTTTCCAAATTATCAAGGGTATTTATTATTATCAAACATATTTCATGTTTTAAAGCCCTCGAATTTAGGCTGTAGTAGTAGTTCATGTTTCATATTTCTGTTTTCAACAGGACTCGGTATTGCTGGAAAAAGAGCATCTACAGGTCTATCTCCGTGTCCGCCCATTCACTATTGCAGAGAGAACAGAAGGAGAATCACAGGTGCCAGCAACATTCTGACATATTTTATACAATTTTTGAGAAATTCTGTCATAACCCATATGTGTTCACTTTTATTGTGTGGATATGGGTTTGAAACAACATGAGGATGAAAAGTGAATGATGAATTTTCATTTTGGGGTGAACTATATTTTTACTATGCTTAATGAAATATGTTATGACTGTAATCTCTACAAACAGGAGTGCATCTCTATTGAGCCTCCAGATACCGTGATTCTGAAGGCACCTAGAGCATCTCTGACAGCCAGACACAGTGAGAGATTTGGGTCACAGCTGGCACAACGATTTCAGTTCTCACAGGTATGAGGACAGCCACAGTCACCACTGGCATTGTCATTTATTGCAAACAGGCTTCAGTGATGTTATCAAGTGTGCTTCTGCTGTAATATGATTGCTGAATTCATGTTTTAGGTGTACGGTCCAGAAACGACACAAAGAGATATATTTGATGGAACAACCAAAAGCCTTGTGAAAGAAGTCTTGGATGGAGGAAATTCCTTGATCTTTACATATGGAGTTACTAATGCTGGGAAGACGTTTACTTTTTTTGGTAAGAATTTTGTATGAGATGTGTCGTGGCCTAATGGTTAGAGAGTCAGACTTGTAACCCGACGGTTGCGGGTTCGAGTCTCAGGTCTGGCAGGGATTGTAGGTTGGGGGAGTGAATAACCAGCGCTCTCCTCCACATTCAATACCACGACTGAGGTGAGACCCTTGAGCAAGGCACCGAACCCCCATCTGCTCCCCGGGCGCCGCAGCAAAAATGACTTGGCCACATGTCACTTCACTTTCAGTTAATTATATATTGCACTGTATGTATGTATGTATAGCTGTCTATACATACATAGATTTAAGTCTATTTTATGTTGTAGGCCCTGATTCAGATGGTGGAGTTCTGCCCAGGTCATTAAATGTGATCTTTAACAGCATAGAAGGCAGAAATTATTCTCAAAATAACATCAAGCCTCACAGATGTGTCGACTTTATAAGACTCACCAAAGAGCAGCAGGATGAGGAAGCTACAAATAAGAGAAACCTTCTTTGCCGATTTAAAGATGTAAATGATTTTTATATATCCTCTTTTTTTAAATTGTATATTGTTTTTTAGCACCGAAAAGTAAATTACTAATACTCACATATTGACTGTTTCTTTGTTTATCAGATTGACCCCCGGAAAACCCTGT